ATATATATATATATATATATAAAAGATTAAATCACCACTGATTTTGTATTTTTTATTGGTCTAATTTTCTAATTAATTTGAACGGGCCAATTCATGCGGAACACCAACAATAACATATAAATTAAGCCGAACACCAATAATTTTGAATGAGAGCCAACTTCAAATATAATTAATTTTAAATGAGCAACACTCGGCTTGTTCACTGCCCTAAGCAAAGTAACGTTTTGACATCCTGAATTCTCATACAAGAAAACACAACCATCATCTGTTCAAAACTTCTACAAGAACATTTCTCTCCCATCTCACTGAAACCCATCCGGGCTCCAGTTCCTCACAATCTGATCAAACAAACATACTGCAGACTTTCACCTTCTCCCTTCCTGCAATCTCCCTCACCACATCTAAAAGAATAAGAAAAAACCAGAGAAAGCCAAGAGAGTAGAGGCAACAATAAAGCTAGCACAACTCATCTCCTTGGCTATCCTGAGGGCATCTGATCAGCTCCATTATCTTTACTACCTCACTCATGTCAGGCCGGTTCGACGGCACCTGCGAAGTGCAAATCAAACCTAGCTTCACCACAGGCACAGCTTCCTCCACAGGAAACTTGCCTCCAAGCCTGCCATCCAAGCACTCCTCCACCCTCCCTTGATCAAGTGCCCCTCGAACAACATCACAAAGAACCACCACATCATCTTCCATATACTCCACCGGCTTTCTCCCTGTTATGACCTCAAGCGCAAGCACACCAAACCCGTATACATCGCACTTCTCGGTGATCTTTACCGTCTGGCAGGCGAACTCCGGCGCCATGTACCCAAGTGCACTCTGAATCTTGCTGCTAAGAATGTAATGGTCGAGCCTTGGAAGTAACTTTGCCAGGCCATAATCTGCAAGTTTGGACTCACCAGATCCATCAATAAGGACATTGTTGGATTTCAGATTGTAATGGATGATGCCATGACAATGAAGATGAGCCAAGCTCCTCGCCACACCGAGAATTATATCAAACCTCTCTTGCCAAGAGAGGCAGTTCAATTCTGCGCTCTCATGCAGGTGTTTGAATAAGCTCCCGCCAGAAACAAATTCATAGATGAGGAGCTGGAGTGACTTTGTCCAATAATATCCTTCCATGGCTACTAGATTTGGGTGCTTCATCTTACCAATCTTTCTGATCTCCCTCTCGAAATCATCTTGGGACTTCACAAGGCTTGAGACAGTGAGCTTCTTGATGACAACAGGCCTACCGTCTCGGAGGACAGTCTTGTAAACTGTCCCAAAGCCGCCATGGCCTAACTCACAGTCTTTGTTAAGAATGTTATGTGCCCCAGCGCTGAAGTCATGATCACCACCACCAAACATGACAAGCTTGCCAGAATTGGCATCGGTGGCTGGTGACTGGCTTAAGTAATCGTCGGAGATGTTAAGGGTGGCGGCGGAGTGCGAAGTGGCAGCACGAACATGAAGGTTCAGGAGGGTGACTGTTATGACACCAAGAGCTATCAAAACTGCAGCTGCGATGGCGATGAGAGCAGAGATGCTAAGGATGATCTTCTTATGACGGAGATTCTCCGGGGAGAATTCAGAGTTTGGTGAGGAGTGGGATGAGGAGTTGGGGTTCAGGACAATGGGCTTTGGAAGAACTGTGGTGCATGAGCGATTAACTGCAGAGCCACATAGATCTGGGTTATCAGAAAGGGAGGAAGGAGGAATTTTGTTGAGTAAGGCAGATGGAATTTCGCCGGAGAAGAAATTGTGGGAGATGTTCAAGGAGAGTAGAAGGGGAAGTGCTGAAAGTTCTTTTGGAAGCTTTCCATTGAGGCCATTTTGGGACAGGTCTATGATCTGAAGGCTAGTGAGTTTGGCCAGAGTAGGAGGAATTGGGCCTGAGAGATTGTTATGAGACAGTATCCTGCATAATCAGATTGGAGAAAAAATGAACTTTGTTAGAAAACTCATCTTTCGTTATTTCCTAACATTTGAAGAGTAAGAAACTATTTCTTTTAGGGTATGGCATCAAACTGAGAAAAAAAAATATCGCGAGGAAAAGAACAAATTTTGAACTGCAAACAAACAAAATAGAAGATTCAACGGGGCAAGAATAGAATAAAATAAAAAAAAAAGTATTTAAATTGTCCTTTTTTCCCTCCAGCATCACAACTCGAACTTCCGCCACTAGAGAGGAAGCCGAGGTAGTCATGAAGCTCTATATGAAATTCTTAAATAAAGAAAGGACCTTGGGTTGATAATTCATAATGGCTAGTGCAATGTGAAGAGGATTAAGACAGTTTCAAGCGGTAGTAAGTTCAGAAATTTCCCACTCCCTTGTCAATGATAGAGTACCAAAATTAAAAGATTTAAGGAACACTGAGTAATGAGCTCTTACAAAGATGTCAGAGAAGAACAGTTCCCAATCTGGACAGGAATTCCTCCACTGAGCGTATTCTTATCAAGCTTCAGAACCTTCAGAGAAACTGCTGCTCCAATCTCCTGTGGAATGTTCCCATTAAGTTGGTTCGAGCCTAGATCAACAGCTTCTAAAACCTTCAATTTCCCAAAGATATCAGAAATGGAACCGATGAATAAATTGTGGGATAAATTCAACAACTGTAACCTTAATAGCCCTCCTATTTCCAGCGGAATCAGATCAGAAAACATATTAGCAGATAAATCCAAGATCTGTAATGTCTGTTCTGAGGAAGTGGGAATTCTAACAGACCCATTGAGATTGTTCCCTGAAAGCAGAATCTTCTCAATACCCAGTTGAAACAACCATGAAGGAAGGTTTCCCACCAATGAATTCCTGCTAAAATCCACCTCAACCAGATTTCTGCAACTAGCCATGGATTCCGGCAAGTTACCCGTTAACCTATTTTCAGAAAAATTCAGCCATTTCAAGACCTGTAAATTGCCGATTGAATCCGGAACTTGGCCGGTGAAGCCATTGTTTGATAAATCCAGAGTCTGCAAATTCTTCATATCACCAAGCCACATAGGCACGTCCCCAGAGAATTTATTCGATCTCAAGCTGAGATAACCGCACATGGTAAGCCTTCGAATTGTCTCCGGGAGAAACCCAGAGAGCAAATTCTCCCCCAAATCTAGCGTGCGCAGCAGCAAGCAGTCCCCAATTTCATCAGGCAAAATCCCCGATAACCAATTCCTTTTCAAGCTCACCGTCCTTAGATTGATCATTCGTCCAATTCCATCCGGAATTTTTCCAACAAGAAAATTTCCAGAGAGATCAATCACCCTAAGCCCATACAAAGACCAAATCTCTCTCGGCAAACTCCCCGAAATCCAATTAAACGATAAATTCAACGATGCAAGAGTCAAGCAATCGCCGACACTCGCCGGAATCTCGCCGGATAACCGATTAACGGCTATCGAAACCGACCGGAGCGACCGACATTGCCAAAAGAACTTGCTAGGAATGGGTCCAGAAAGAGCATTATAGCTGAGATCAACAGTATGAAGATTCTCAAGACGGGTCAGATCAGCGTTCAGAGCGCCGGAGAAATTGTTTCGAGAGAGCGAGAGCTTCCGAAGGGAGCTGAGCTGAAGAAGACCACGCCCAATCTTTCCAGAAAGACCGAAGCCGTCCAGTGATAGCTCGACGACGAGGTGCGTGCGAGAATCGCACTTGACGCCTACCCAACCGCATGGATCAGCGTCTTCCTCATTCCAAGACGCGAGTTTCGATTGAGGGTCGAGAAGATCAGCTTTGAATACGATGAGTCCGAGCAGGTCGTCGTTGAGTGTTGGTTCGGTGGTTCCAGCAGCGGTGGTGAGGAGGAAGAAGATAATGAGGAAAGAATGCACGTTCATTGCTCGATTCGGTTCAAGAGCAGGGATAGAGCATTTGGAAAAATGGGAGAACACGATAATGGAGATCGCCTGACTGCAGCGGCGCGTTGGTAGTTCGCAAGCAAGCAGCAGAGGTCGAGAAAGTGGGAGTGGGGCAGTGAGCTTTATTAACGGAGAAGAGTGGGTCGTGCTTGACTACACGTGGCAGTTTAAAAAATCGGCTAATTATTGTGAACAGCATCTAGCATTTCTGACGAATAGAAGATCATATGTTGTGGGGTCCATGCCATAAGGTTAAGGGTTAAGGGTTAAGGGTTAAGGGTTAATATTTAAAATTATACTAAGTGTCTTAAATTTAAATCAATTTTTTTTTTAAATTTTTTAAGACTTGTAAATTAAAATTATTTATTATTAGATTAGCAATATTAATGAATGGTTTAAGTCCTTAAGTTATACTTCAACATATTCAACGAAAGAATATAAAAATATCATAAATTTCAACGGGCTAATATTATTTAGCCCTGGGAGCGCGAGCAAGCGTTCCTTCAGTGTGACGGAAAGCAGAAGCTCTTTCCTTAATTTTGCCGCGATGCAGAAAATCTAGACATTTATGATTGGGTTGCGACCCAAAGTTTCTATACATATATGTGAAAATTTACATACATGCCACACAATTCATTTGTATTTACATATCTGATCTCTAAAGTTCTATATTTACATTTATAATAATTGGGTGACCATTGTAAAAAAAGATTTGTTTCGCCTTTAAAATGTTAATAGTAATGATATTATTGATGTGACATTAAGATTTGTGTTGTGTATGTAAACATGCAAGTTTTTATGTTAGATAAGTAAATATATAATAATTATGTGGTATGTATGTATATATACTACCCCTAATTTATTCTATATGTGTCAAGTCAGAACACATTATAGAATTTGAGTGTATGTTGTAGAATAGTGAAGCCCCTGGAAGAGAAATAAAAACACATCGTCAAGTACACTGTACGATGACACGCCCTAAAGATGATGTAGCAACACACCCTGAATACAGTCCAACGACACACCCTGATAACTATGTAACGATTCACATTATATACAGTGCAATGACGCCTCTTGAAGATATTATAACTATGCATGCTGAAGACGGTAACTTGCTATGAACTCCCAAAGCTCTCTTCTTATTGTCCATCACTAATGCCTACGTGATCAACTACAACCGACATGACTCACAGCTCATTGCAGCTTTTCGACTTCAGCTCATGTAGCCTACGAAAGTCATCACAGCTCACCATTATGACATATGTGACCAACTACGCCCACGTGGTCCATAACTCATGTATTTCTCGACTCTGGCTTTTACGGTCTATGGAAGTAATCGCAGCTCACCATTGCACATGCATGATCACCTATAACCTATATGACTCGTAACTTTTGTAGAATCCTACTACATCCTCTATGGTCAATCGAGGTTTTTGAAGCAATCATATGTGGTGCACATAGCCAATTACTACAACAGTTTTAAACTATACAACATTTAGCTAGAATGTTCCAACTATACAAGCTGACACTATAGCCACCTTTTAGAATATTCATTATGGGCTAGTGCTTCCATAACAATCGATTACGACCCTTACAGTCCGCTATCACCCATAACTACATTCACCTCAGCCAAACAAAAGTTATTATCGATGATTTATTGTCGCATATTTACAAAAATCAACTTTATAACTCCATCTTCTCTGATCCATCAGAAAAATGGATGTGTAATCTTCATTCGTAGTGGACCACATGGTATTTTTCACATTTTTCGGATTTTTCACTTAAACATCATCTAATTAAAATAAAAATTCCTCAAAATGATTAACAATTAAAACAAATTTATTCATTAAAGTTCAGCGGTTCCTCAATCAAAAAATCTATTCATAGTTGAAATGATTGGACCAAACATTTACCCCGTGAGTGAATCATGAAAAATATTCTCGGTTGCTCGCAATAACTTCAATCCACATTCCCCTAAGAAAATAAAATAATCAGACTGCTGTAAGAAAAGCTTCCCAAGAAAATGCCTTCCATCTCCAACGTCCATATTTAAATTGAGAGCAAAAAAATTTTAAATGCGTCCTACAATGGCATTTAAAGAAGTAAGAAAGAGAAGCTCTTTATGATTTATGATGCCTCTCCTAAGAGCAATGGAGGGTGGATGCATTTAATGCATAAGACATAAAAACTATTAATATTACATATTTCACCCTTATACTTTAATATTTATTTTAACTAACACCTCCGTTAAATTTTTGCCCGGACCAAAGAAAATTTTCCATATGAAATCGGACGCAGCTCATGTGTGTCAGAGTTTATTGGGTGGTTATTGAAGTGAAACTGCGGAGGTTATTGGAGATTATTGTGAGGGTTATTACAACAGGGTTTATTGAAGTGGAACCGTGGATGTTATTGAGGGTTATTGCAATGTTATTGGAGTTAATAGCGCAATAACCCCCCAATAATCCTCCCAATAACATATGTGGTTCTACTCCAATAACTTACGGAGTTCCACTCTAATAACCCCCACTGTTCTACTTTAATATTTTTTTAGATGGGTTTGATGTAGCGCACATGGCAGCACATTACTGGAGTCCGCACGCAGAGCTGCATTTGGAAATCATATGGAGCTCAGCATGCGGACTCCGTATAGAAAATTTTTTTATCGAACACAGCCGTCAATGCATCCTAGCTCATAAGAAGGAAAGCACAACGAGTAGAAAAACAAGACTTGTTAATCCAATGTTTTGGGGGCTAAGGATGTAGTTACTAAAGCTTAGGCTTGAGATATACATAATATTAATTGTTTTTGGTGCTCTATGTAAATCTCTCTAATATTCTAATTAAAATATTATTTAGACTATATCTAAAAACTCTTATATCTACTTTAAAATAATTGTTACATGGAAATAACAAAAATTATACTCATTTTAAATTACATTTAAATCCCTAAATTATTTCTAATTACTTCCTTGCGAATACATGATTTTTTTTGGGCAGAAATATAATAAAAAAACAATTATTAAGCTAAAAAGAAACATTTACATACATGCACACCACTTAATTATGTTGTATTTACATATCTAAAACCTAATAATGAATTTTTACTTACATTTCATCTGTTTATGAATAAAAAGATATTTTTCAAATTTTAAAATTATAATGATAAAATTTTTTAAGTGATATGTAAATGCAAGAAATAAAGCTAAGGTGTTATAGAAGGAAAAAATGTCCAACGGCTTATCCCTCTTGCACAAACCTGATGTATTACCGGACTCTATGACCCATTTTATATATTAGAAGTGGCGGTTATGTGTCAAAAATAAAAACTCTTCATACAAGATATGGTTCCCATATAAAAAAAAGAGATAGATGGACAAAATATAAAGTTACATATGTTACCTCATCTTTAGAGGGGTTGTATGGGGCATTATCGTTTTTTTACCCGCCCATACCTTTTGCTCGGCAAGTCCTTAGGTCGATCAATTGAGTTGGTTTTGGTCAGCTTTCTTGACACAGATCGACCTTCGCTCTGGGAAGCCGATCAGTCTTTGATCGTGCTAATCATTTATTTTATTATTGTTCCTTGGCAATTTTAGGTGATCTTTGGAGGTGTTGTTGAATAAGCTCAATGTTAAAACTTGACAGATTGTTGGGGTGTTAGACCGGTCGGTGGTGCGGATGCAAGTCCCTTATTGACAAGCTTGGTCCTTTGGTCATCCATCTAATCTTCAGTGGGTCATAAAACATTTCGCTCGACCAGCTCTCAAGGCCTTACAGTTTTAGGGTTCCTCATTATATCCCTTTTAATCTGAAATGTTAGATTATCTCGAGATTTAAGCATATCATTTTTGGACGTACAACTATAATTAATCAAGTTTCTCAAGGTTGTATCTCGAATAATATACCTTAAATCATCTTATCAAAAGTTATTTCTGAAAAAAAAAATAATAATAAAATAAAATCAATTATTGTTCCACTTAACAACTTGCATGCTTCAACCCTAGATAACCATGACCCATATCATTAATTGCAGCACAACCACTGAATGGCAGCTTTAATGGCCAAAGAATCTGAGAATTAAATTTTTGTTCCATTCATTTACTTTTTAATTTATTGTTTTCGAGGTTAGGGTTTTGGTGGGAGGAGTAAAGTTCACATTTACTCCTCACTGCAGTACAGACTGAAACTTTGGGCAGCATTTATGGATATAAAAGCAAAGCTGCCTCTTCGTTGGAATTAATGGAATATTTCTTCCTTCAAATCAGAGTGGGCAGATGAAGTGTGTTCGCTTTTACTGCGGTAAACATTGTTTCACTTTCACGTGATGAATCTTTTGACTCCTATTCTGTAAATTATTTTATTTTCAAATTTATTTTTCAACTGATTTATAAGAATATTTCACTGTGTTATAGAAATATTTCATCAGTATTATTTATAAAAAAATGAAGTGTTATTCGAGCATTATGTTGTGTTATTCGATTACTTTGTGATGTTATTCAAATATTCCCCGCTTTACTTGATTTGAGACTGTGTTATTCGACAATTTCCTCGTGTTATTTCAATTTTCATTATGTTATTGTAATAATACAGCCCCAAATCAAATATCACGGGGGATTATTCACTAGCACCTAATTAAATAATATTGATAAAATATTCTTATAACACAGCGGAATATTCCTATAACACTAATCCAAACGTAGCTCTACGTTCGGAGGCCTGATGTAATATTTTGTTCTTGTTTTTGGGCAGGGGAGTGAATTCGATATTTGTACATATATAACTTCTAGATTTTAATATTTGCATTTCTAACAATTATTTATACTTGAAAGCTGTTTTTTTTTTTTTTTTGAAATTAATAATATTGATATTTTTAACATAGTGTAAGATATTTGAGGGTTATAAATGTTAAATTAAAAATTCAGGTGTTATATATGTAAATAATTATGAGTTATGTGTATGGATATAAGTGCACCTAATCATGAATATAAATGCTAAAATTTATGATCCAAATTCAATAAAAAAATATTAGCGGATCCTTAAAAAGAAAAAGTCTGGTTAATTGCGAAGGTTCTAGCCTGT